CCACGTGACGGCTAAGCGAGGTGGTCGCGGAACCACCCAAGGCAGCGGCAGTCCCGCGAAGTTAGGCAGATCAGCAACAACACCTTAAGGCATAATAATACGACCTTGGCTATCCCGATAAGGCCTTTGTTCACTACACTATTTCACCCCTTAGTCCTTATATAAATAGTCTTGTTAGTGAGATATCAAGAATTAAAAATTAGCCATTTTATATGGAATACAGAGGTGGCCAGCTTGCTTGTGACCAGCCCGCTTGTGGATTACGTTACTTATTGCTCAAGAGGTTCTGTATTATACGCATGAAAGAGGGAACATGTAGAGAAATGGCGCCAGACCCTGACTCTAGACCCTGATGACAAATTCACTCCCGTGTATTGACATTACTACCTGTTTTTTTTTCGGTCACCTGACACCATGCCTCTTCCCCCACCCGGGCAACAGACACCCGTCACCCTTTCGACACATTGCTGGAACCGCAACGCAACTCTCACCATAGCTTCACGTCGCGGCTCTGCAGCCATTTTACTCTCGCTCTCGTCCTCAACCCCCCACCTGCACTTCGTACATACGACATCCATTCTCTTTTACTCGTTTACACTCGCAGCAATTTCCAAAAATGGACAACAGCGGCGATGGCCCTCTCCAAGTTCCTGGATTCAATGATGTTCCTCTATACTATGAGCTACCCAGAGGCTCTCGCTTCGCGCATGGGATCGCAGACTGGAGACAGAGCCCACAGTTGACCCTGCGGGAGATTTGTATGCTACAGTTCATGTCCTACGTCACCGAGCAGCCAGACTGGGAAAACAAGTGCGACGACCCCGACACCTTGGAGATCTGGCGTGAAAAGGCCGATAGTGCTTTTGACCTGGATCAGCCATGCTGGGACTGGTGCTACAAAGAGCTGCAAGACAAAGCAGATGACTTCAAGCGCAAGGGTCACGTGGCCGTCTTTGATGCGGACTCTCGAGTCATCAAGGCGGAAGTCGACGCTAGTCTTCTCGCCGATCTTCGGACAGCCATGGAACCACTTTTCTCATCGACAGAAGAGCCCGATTCGGAAGACAAAGAAGCGCCCGTGGAGGCTGGTGTTCAAGGCCCCATCCGGCATGTGGTCGATCCATCTATGTATCCTCTTGTGTATGGACAGACCAAAGTTCTTATTAATGGGGGCAAGGTCGATCTCGACAGCTTTGAGTCATGCGATAACTCTCGGTGCCAGACTTCTCCAATTCCTGACAAGTTGACCAAACATCCGTATGAGCTAAACCACGGGGAGAGAGATCCAGACGATGGTCGAGTGACAAACAAGCCTAAATACTGGTCAAACAAATTCCAGTGGCTTCCGTGCGAAGTCAAGTTCACAAATCGAGGAGAAACCAAGATCACCTCCTACATCAATGGTGTAAATCCAAGGGAGAAAGAAACTTACCAAGCACTTGAGAGACTAATCGCCACCGCCATACAGCCGTGGAATGAGATGCTTATCCTTGGAAACCAAGGTCGAACTCCGATTCGTATTAGAACTTATGACTTTCAAACTGAAAACGAGGCGTTGCCGCAGGCGTACAACCTTCTATGGGGCACAACTGTGGGGTTGAAAGTGAGATTCTCCGAAGAGCAGTGGCCTGAGATCCGATCGCAAGTCAGGGACTACTTGAATCTCCCCGAATATGAACAACGATACCAGGTCGATCCGAGTGAATCCAATGTCAAGGACCTCCTCGTCAGCATGGACCCGTCGCAGTGGAGCTCTCCCGCAGCACTAGAAGAACTAATCGTTGAAAAGCATCGTCGACGATATGTCGTCAAAGGCGTAGAACCTGGGATTTCCTTCACGTACAATGAATGGAAGACCGGGCAAAACACCGGTCGTGCCATCCTACCCAAAGTCAACAATTCCTCGCGCAGCAAGAACCCCACACCACCGCCTCCTGACCCAGACCACCAATTCTACACCGTTTCTCTCCGGAACCAATTTCAGGACCTACAGGTGATTATTAGGGTGTCTGGCATTGATCTGACCCCAGAAAGGCCCTTGTATACCGGGGAACCCCAGTTTGGGGTGGCCGGTATTCTCAATGAGCATATTGTTGCCACAGCGGTTTGCTATTTGGACGTGGATAATATCAAAGATCCGAAAGTGTCATTTCAACAAGAGACGCTTTTGAGTACCCTGGACTTTAATGTTGAAAAGTACCTAATTATGAATCGAGTTTTCGACGTTCCAGAGGAGGAAGACGATAAACTACCACCAGCACTGCAGAATCTGGGCTCTATTTTTGTTTCCCAAGCCGGGCAGCTCCTCTCTTGGCCGAACACGCTGCGATCCCGAGCAGAGTCTTTCACTCTTCGCGACCCGTCTCAACCCGGCCGCCTTCGATTTGTAACCCTCTGGCTGGTAGATCCCCATTACCGAATCTGCTCAACCCAGAATGTCCCACCCCAGGACGAAAGCTGGGTTGGCACAGCCATGGTTCATTCACAGGAGCATACGCAGACTCGGGGATCAATAACGCTCGCAGAAGCGATTTATACTAAGGAACAGATGAACCAGGAGAGAATCTCTGCCGCCTGTGCATTTCACCGGTATGGTCATGGTGCTCACAGATACGCCGATGATTATCACGCATTTTACTATGGCAGTCGCGAAGAGTCCTGAGTACGACTTTGTTTTCAGCCCCCTTTCGTCATACTGTAGCAATTGGGCCATCATACATCATATATAAAGATACGATACCACACCCAGAACGTGTCAAAGCAGTGCGGCCTTCACTGTTCGAACTTTCTGGCCAGGTCCTAGACAGAACTGGGGACAAAAAGACAACTTCATCCAGGATTATCTACTTTCTCGTGTAGTGAATAGTTGAGTGGTGACTGACGAACACGAATTAACAAATTCTTAGAGTCGCTTATATACAAACAAGCCTGGACATATGTCCCCAAGTATTACAGAGCATACTGAAAGCAGAACCACAAAAGCATCGACAGGCCTAGCGCGGCTTGCAGCTGTCCACACTATCCAGCTCACTCAAGCTCTGTCCAATTGTGTTGGTGATCTTCAGATGTTGTCTGAATTTCCTGGCCTCTTGTCCTTCTTCCTGAAAGACGCACGTACCAGGTAAGGTAGGTCTTAGTCTCCTCGGGGGATTTTCCGTTCGCCGCAGCGGTCGCGCTCCAGTCCGGCTGGAGGAAGGTAACATCTGTGTCCAGGACGGCAACCTCCGAGGCCTTGAGGGTCTTGTCGGGGAAATCTGCTGCCCACAATATGCTCACGCTGGTACGATACATATCCTGCAACCGTACGGCTTGTGCTCCGGCCAGAGCCCTTTTGAACTCTGGATACTGGTTATTCCAGACGTCGGCAAAGCCTGGGGCAGTGCTACCGCGTGTGGACTTGACAATGTCGGCGATTCGCTGGAGCGTTGAAAGGTGATCAAGTTGAGCGCCCTCTTCAAGACCAAGAAGTTCAACAAGGCTGTACTTGTCAGTTTCCAGTGAGGCACTAATCTTGTCCAGTGTGGCTTGGTTATATTAAGGATTCATGCTCGTTCAAATGCCACTTTGGGGGAGACGTTGCGCAAAAACCGTGGAGATAAACGTCCCGAAGTCGACGAGGGCCGTGTTGCCTAATTTTGGCGCCAGTGTGCGTGAGGCCCCGTTCGCCGAAAGGTCCAAGACGAAAGCGCGGTACATGAGGATCGCCTCGGTGGGAACCGCCAAGAGAGAACCTTGGCAGAGGTTGCCTAGCAGTGCTAGGGTAAACAAGATGACTCGGAAGGCCTTCATCGTGACCGCGCGAGGGAAAGGAGTGACGGATAGCCACAACAGATATAGTGAAACAATTGAATTTCGCACGCGGCAATTAGCTTCTGTAAATATCAAGTTGGTCAGAGTTGAAAAAGAAAATAATGAGTAAGACAGAAGATTGGATAGATAAATAAATGACTGGCTTGAAATGGTGGCATGAAGAGAATGTCATTACAACAGTATAAAGGAAATCGACGAGTCAGAGAGGTAAGCAGCAAAGCGTCAGTCAGGGATCTATTCAAAATCTCTACTGGGCTTCTGGGAGATTTAACTGTTGACTTAGGGGATGCGCTTGTTCTGGATACCATCCCTATATGCCGGGTGTGAAACGAGTTGATATTGGGTATTTTACACTAAGAAGTGCACTAAGCCCTAGTTCCAATTTCGTACATCGACGGACTGAGACATGCGGAGATGAGGTAACAAACCACAATTACTCCATCACACCGTCGTTGACAGGCATCTTGCAAGTTTGGATTTAGCAAGATTAAACTCAAAGGCGATTGAAAAAATCATAGAGGGGCGCTAGACATAGTACCGGTGCGTCGTGGTTGTGCCTATAAACTTCCCTGATGCCATGTACCCGAGAGATAGGAAATCCTCTTTATCTTTAACCCTTCGAGCTTCTTTTTTTTCTGCCGTCAAGACCCTCGCAAACATCAACGGACCTACTCACACACTCTCTTATGTTACAGTGCCTACGGCTTCTTTCCTTTTTCTTTTCTGATCACGTTCTTTAACCCACATCACCTTCAGCTTTCTCTCTTTTTTTTACATTTTATTCTTTCTTTCATCTTGCTCTTGCTCTTGCTTGAAGGCTCTGGCGTACCTTCCCTGCCCTTAAATTCGAAACATGAGTCCTCCCATTCGATTGTGGTTTTGTATGCTTGTCTCGACATGCTGCCTCTGGTATCAGGTTCAGGCTCGTACTGTGTTTGCTTATTTTATACTCTCAAACACAGCAGGATACACTTCCGACGATAGGAAAACTGAGATCCAGCTTACTCTGGATACCCACATCGATGCATTCGCACTCAACATGGCGGCTGGAGAAAGTACCACTACTACCTCTCTCCCAAACGCCTTTGCGGCTGCTCAAAAGCTCAAGTTCCACCTGTTTTTCTTGTTCGATTACGCTGGCAACGGGCCTTGGGACAAGAACGATGTCGTAAGCCTGCTGGGCCAATATGTGAGTAATGATGCTTACTACTTTCACGGATCGAATCCTCTGGTGTCGACGTTCGAAGGGCCTGATAATGCATAAGGCTGGGTGGACATTAAGTCCCAGTAATTCTGCTTCTTTGTTCCGGACTTGTCGTCGGTTGGGGCCAAAGCTGCTGTGGCCCTGGCCGATGGGGTAGCAGACAGCCTTTTCAGTTGGGCTGCCTGGCCCAACGGACCCAACGACATGAATACGTATGTGGATGCGTCGTATATCCAGTACTTAGATAAGAAGCCCTACATGATGCCGATCTCTCCATGGTTCTTCACCAATATGCCCGGATACGACAAGAATTGGCTGTGGCGTGGTGACGATCTCTGGTATACTCAGTGGGAACAGGCACTCTACCTCGCTCCGGAGTTCATCAAGATCATATCCTAGAACGACTTCGGCGAGTCCTACTATATTGGGCCAATTGTTGACAGCCACAATCCGCTAGCTGACTCCATATACACCGCGTTCGAGACAGGCGAAGCCCCTTACAACTATGTTAAGGGCTTCGACCACAGTAGCTGGAGACAATTCCTGCCTTATATAATTAACCTCTACAAGTATAACCAGACCAATATCAACAGTAAAGGCTTAGTAACCTGGTATCAGCTAAATACAGCAGGTGTGTGCCCTGACGGTGGCACAACTGGCAACACAGTGTCTTAACTGCAGTTGGAATACTGGCCCAAGGATATCACACAAGATAAGATCTTCTTCTCCGCATTTCTTGGGAAGGCTAGAGATATCTTAGTAACTATCAGAGAAGTAAATATTAATGCAACATAGACTAACACCCCAAGTAGTAGAGGGGGCATCTATCACAGCAGTGTCTCCTTTGCCGGCCATTCTGGCTCAGTTGTCGTGTCTGTTACTGGATCTACCGGTACTATTACAGTGAGCGGATAAGATATTAGCAGCAGATGCTGGGAAGGGGATCAAGTTAAGAACTGGAATACTTAGGTGGGCTACAGTATAGGTGGCGCAGTTGATATAGATTCCCCCAAGCTAAATAAGAAGATGTATATTAAAGGATAGGGAATAGGCGACTTTAATAGACTCTGTAGCTACTCCTGCAGCCTGGGCTATTATTCTGTTGGAGCGTGCGTTTGCACAAAATTAGGACCTCAGCCAGAGTTGCCCTCGTCCACTGGGATCCAGGGATATCCTGCGGCTGGGAAAGACGCCAACTACGCTGGGCTGTATTCATTCGCCTGCAACTATAGGTATTGTCCTTCTACTGCCTGTGGAACAGTATCGGTTCCATTAACTATCCCACCCGTGTCCCCTTTCAACCCCTATTGTGCTGACTTCTATGTTTTGGGTGTACTGTATGGGAAATTGGAAGCCACAGTTACCAAGTTTACCAGCATTGCCAATACGAGCAACTATAACAAGTATTTCAAGGACTACAAGTCCTACATGAAAAGCCAGGTGGGGACCCAGCTTACCTATTTTTCAAATATAAGCGACACTGGTGCGCAGGGTGAGGGCAACCAATTCTTCACGTGCATACTCAGTTTTGGAGGGGTGAACCGAACGGCGGGACCATGTCCTAACAATCTCGGGTACGAAAATCGCGCACATACCGTTTATTATAATTTGATCGATGCGGACGGCTTCTATAGCAACCTCAGCGCGGAATCTGGGATAGAACGTGACTGGGTTGTGCTAGGGGGCTGGTCGAGCACGGAGGGGCCATACTACAACAACAAAGGCAACACCGCGTGCAACGTCTACAATAATCCTGAGGCTGCCTGCTGGTGGCATTGCAGCTTTCTAATTCCAGCCCAGCAGATTACCATCAGCGACCCGCGGGAGCTGATGAGACAGGCCCTGCCCAACATCCCAAACCTCCAGCTCTCCCTCCTCATCACCGAGCTTCAAATCCTGTCAGGCTCCTTTGATGGCGTGATCGACGACGTCGTCCAGACGTACTCCACCGCCGTGTTCACCCTGGCCGAGCTGGTCGACCGCATCTACTCCGTGGTCGCCATTGGGGAGAAGATTGAGGCCGAGAAGAAGAAGGAGCTAATCTTGCAGATTCTTGGCGGCGTGTTCCTGATCATGCCCTTCCTCGGCCCGCTCTCCGGCCTCGGCGATGTCATTGAGAGTCTGGATGCGGCGCTCGCGCTCGTGGGCACCGTCGCGAACGAGGCAACCGATATCTACACCATGGTGCAGGACCCTGAAAGCGCTCCGGTCGCAATCCTAAGCAAACTGCTCGACTTCAACGTGGGTGCCGCCGCCGGCGCGGCCACCAAAGATGGCGTCAGCGCGATCGAGTTCGACTCCATGGCCTTGACGCGACGCGGCATGAAGGGGTCGGATATCAAGTCGGTTGGGGTATTGTTCGAGCAAAAGATGGATCAGCTGGAATCTATTGTCAGCAAGTGCGCTAGGCTTTGAGTCAGTTATAGCCTCATTAGTATAGACCCTTGAAAGAATATTTCCCGACTTGCCTGTATAATAATGTCGTACGACCTTAACGCTTCGTAGGATTACAAACTCCTCCGATTAATATTTATGTCCCCAACCCTCCACTCGTCATATACCAAAAACATCGCGCAAGATGCGAGTATTGATGTCAATTGCACGTACAACACATCAGCACCGACTCATGTATAATTATTCGTGCAATTTTTGATGACTAGCGCCACCACAGAAACCTATTGCTACCGCCGTGCTCAGCGAAACTCCTGCGGCATGTTCAAATAAACTCGGCGGGGTGGGTCGCACGGATCCGCGTCGCACGCGGCAGATCAGCACGTAATCCGCACCCCGCATCTAGGTCTATGTGGCTGACTTCGCATGGCACCGAGCGTATTTGTATGGTATGTTATGACTTACTCAAGCCACAAACAGTTTGGTTTCTGATTATCTCGCTGATAAACCGCAGCTTCCGTAGAGCTCTCCTGATGACATAAATAAGAAGGTTCACTTCCGCTCGTTTCAAGCAGCTCTGCCGACGGAATTAACTTTCTCTGTCGATGGGACTAGCATCTCATATGGACGTGGGGAATCGTGGTCGGTATTTCGAGGATGAATTATCAAGCCATCCGTAGCTGTATATCAAGAACGGCGTTAATGGCACCTTGTGTAATTCCTAATGTGCCTTTTAAGGTTCAAATATTTTAGTCGACCTTAGCAGTATCGACGTATTTTGCACGTAGCTACCAAGTTCCTCACACCACCAACCAATGAAAATTTTGTGACCTCAGTTCCTTGAGCCTCTGAGGCCTGTCCGCCCACATTTTCCACGAAGACTAGGAGAGTGAAATATAAGTATAAGTGATTCTGTCATTTTGAGACTACAACCGCTTTTTCTCACAGCGCTAAACTTTACCTTTTACTATCAGAGCGGCGTGCTGGGGCGATACTCGGGTGCTGTTTTCAAGACACTACGCGGTGCAGCTATCCTTTTCCTGACCCAAGGGACGGCCCACCAACGGCCCACCAACGGCCAAGACATGCCGCTAGCCAAGACTGGCAGTGGCCCGGCGTCGGCGTCCTGTTCAGGTTGATGCGACCAGCAACCGCAACAAGCTCTGCTTTCCGTTCAACATGAGGGCAATCAAATCAGGAATACATGTCCAAACTACCTCAATATGCAATAGATACGCTTTGCATGCTCAGAGCATGAGTGTCGATCGGGCATGAAGTTCAGGTGTAGGTATAGCTGCAGGCTTCCTTTTCCGGCCACCCAAATATCATCGGGTTCATGGAATATATCATCACTTCCCAATTCAAGGACTAGCCTCTGCTGCCTAAAGCTGAATAACGAGCCGGTTGCCTAGATGACTCATTTTCTTGAGCTTGATTTATTGGCTATCTTGTTCATGCTGTAGCGAAGACTCCTTGAATAGGATATATATAACTTGAATCAAAATCCATCACCATAAAGCTTATCCCAATCCTGGACACAGCAACTGCTGCCACCACTCCCCCATCCAAGATGATTTCCCCTTCCAGAACCGAACCCCCTTTCTCCCAATTCAAATCAACAACCAAAAGGCAAACAACAATGTCCACCCCACAAAACACCCTCGCCCTACACTTCAAATCCCTCCACCGCCCGCGCCACCCCTTGATCCTCGCCAACATCTACGACGCCGCCACCGCCCAAACCGTCGCCTTCCTCCCCTCCGCCCGGGCCATTGCAACCGCCAGCTAGGGAGTAACTAGGTCCGGTAGATTCAGCACGGGCTGGACGCGTTGTTTTGACCTGCACGTCTGCAGTTGGCTTTGATTTGTGGGCTCGGCAGCCCCTAAAGGCTTAGCAGTCGGGGGCACTGCGGTGCCAGTCCCAGTGTTAGCCCCGGCGGCTGCCCCCGGCTGGGCGGTATCAATCAAGTATCATAGTTCATCAAGTATTGATGGTCCTGTTTCGTTAGCTGGCTCGGGGACGAAGCAGGCCTTCTTCCAGCAGGCCTCCTCAACCTTCTTACTCTCCTTCTCCCACTCTGGGCAGGCTTGGTAGGTGGCAGGGTGGTTCCCACAGCAAAAACGGCATCGGTGGGCGCTTGATAGATCGCGAACCTGGCAGCGGCGTAAGTCATAGTCCTCAGCGCAGCACAGGCAGCACACAGGGGCGCTGCAGCAGCGCTGGACGTGTCCGAAGAGGTGGCATCAGCTACACTGGATTGCGCGACACCAAAGGTCGAACCGCTCCGTATTCAACGCCCGCCCCCGCAGGAACAGCCGGCTGGCTTGGCCCCTGGGTGATCCACCGCGCACTGTACAACCGCCCGCCAGTGTGCTTGAAAATACTGAGGTCGGTCGGCATCGATGGGGGTGTCAAAAGATTACAGCCAAACAGTGGGAGGCATGGTTATCCTGGGCACGGGCCTGGGTCAAGTAAAGTAATAGGGTTAGTACGCCTAAGAAGAGGCTAAAGGTATCTAACCATAGGCGGAGTCCGCAGTAGCCAGCTAGGCGTGCGAGGAATTGAGCGAGCACGTCCCCCTAAGAATGGAATTCTTGCCCAGCTGTATTATCTTGCTTTTGTAGCCCCACAGGCAGGAAACGCCGTTTAAAAGTAAAAAATCAATAGGGAATGGAGTTGGATGTAACATTCACCCTTATTGATTGATATTCAATGGTGGCGTGCTGTTTGGTGTAGCTGTCGCGTTTTTTTTTTTTTTGTCCCTGTCAATGTCTCGCTTTGCGCTCCTTAGTTCACTGTATGTGGATTGAAGTGATCAGGAAAAAATGTATTGACCAGACTGGGGCTCGATCCCAGGACCTTATCGGTGTTAACGATACGTGATAACCAACTACACCATCCGGCCAATCGTTTACAGTCGCTCCGGTCTTTTCACCCACAGCCCCAACCCCAAGATTAACTGGAGTAGCTGTGGGATGGCCGGTGTCTGGGTGATGAAATATGTATGTACTGTACTTTGCGAGGGACTTGGCGATGAAGGCGCAATCACGTGCGCTCTGCCTGCATCGTCTTGCGAGAGTCCATCTGTCGCCGTAGTGGTCTGCTGTGCTGAAAATGAGCCATACGAGATTGGGACTTCTCCAAGTGCCCAGTTTGTCTCGCATTGTGGCTAGTGATGGATTGGTAAGGGCCGTGATCGCCCCGGGAGACGGCAGAACCTCTAATACGATGGTAGGAGCACGGAGTTCTCTCCTGGCCCTTTACGTGGGTACCGGAATATTGGCTTGGATTGGAGGGCACCCTACCAAAGGCTTGCGTCATAACACATCTCAGGGCTTACTATACCTCATGTAGCATCGGGGGTTCAGTCTAGTTTGTGGGAAGACACGGGTGCAGGATGTATGCCACGGGATTGAACCTGTTTGTTCGCGGCGGCTGAAATAGCTATCGCATCGTGGCAGCGGCCCACCTACTCAGTAGCGAAAAGCGGGATGCAAAGAGCGATCTCAATTATGTCACCCTTGCCAGATTCATATAAGATGTGGCAACCCGCCTGACATTCCCTCCGACCGGGTATATCAGGTCTTGCAAGAGGTTGACTTCCATGCTGGTGCGGATGATCGCTGGGGATTCTGCGCGTGGCCCATAATGCGGCAGGGCCGTAACTTACTGGTCATACATGCGCGTACATGCTTTTCTGTCACACGGGTGGCTTTGCCCGAGGGGTGCGCTTTCTTGGTGTCCCCTCATGGCTTCATTCACATGGTGTATACTGGAATTTTGTCACCCAATGTCCTGACAGTCGAGCGATCTGCACAAACCGGAGGGGGGCAAAAAGTGATGCATCGTCCGGGAGTCGAACCCGGGCCGCTTGTTTGGAAGACAAGAATCGTAACCGTTTGACCAACAATGCTTATTCAGCGAGTAGTGTCTAAAAATGTCTTGGAGGTTAATAAGCACGACATGCAAGAGAGGAGAGGAGGGCATTTGTCGTCGGCTCGGGACTGATGGTTACCGTTGAGAATCAAAATCTTTGCAAGCATGGTTCACGCAGCACCGATTGACGACATGTACATGTGTGAGTACGAAACCGAGCGACTATTCCGTGACTAAGCGGAAGAAGGCAGCCGAGAGCAAAGCCGAACCGCATCCGCGTGCCCCACTTGATTAAACCTCGAAAGCCTCGAATGGATGCAACGAGGTAGAATGAACTGGGCCACGGATAAGGGAACCTTGAATTCGGGCGATTCCCCCCCCCGAGTTTCCCGCTTGATATCTATGGTGGACTAAATTAGTTGGTTGGAAGATACATTGTAGGTGAGGTCCCATTCTTTCATCGGATGCGGCATTTCGGAGTCCGGGTTTGCAGGTGCAAGCGGAGTGGGTTCTCCTTCGTCGAAACCCTTCTGTTCCGAGCCTAAGAATGGATCTAGCCTGGAAGAAGCTACGGTACATGATAAGATCGGTGGCTTTAGGTACTGTCGATCTCTGATGCAAACGTGCAATACCTACGATTTGAACAATCTCTACCGTGTGGTATACATTAATGCGCATTCTACAACCCCGAAAGATGTATTGCTCCCCCCCCCCCTCTTCCCCTCTCGGCTTGACCAACCCGAGCGTGACTGTCAGTGCATCCGCAGTTGCGTATTCGAGACCAGGACTGAGGACGAGGTAGCCACGAAGCCCAGACGGTAGAACTCCCCAATATAATGGGACATGGAGGTGAAATGTTGGAGGATAGGTGCTGGCAGTCTAAGAGTCCGGTGACACGTCGCAAGGTAAGCGCTGGCCGATAAGAGTAGCTGAACATCGTCTGGAGCGGAAGCATGTGATGGATCCTGCAGGATACTCCAGAAGACAACGATGGAGGCCAAGGGCACGGAGAAGGTAGCGATCCTGCCGAAATTAGAGATGAATGGCGATACGAGAAACGCAAGCGCGTTTTGGGGGGGGGGCGGAGAAAGAGAGAGAGAGAGAGAGAGGAAGAGGGAGCTCACCATGACGCATCAGACGATTGGAAGGATACAGCGAATTCTAGATGACGGAGGATCCGTCGACTGGCCTCCACAGAAACTGCAAGGTTGGATAACAGCAGGCTACCACCATTCACGTGATGAATCCCGGCCGACATTCCATAAAGGCCGCGGACCAAGTGTAGCATGCATGCGCACTGATAATACTCAAACCACGTCAGGAGGATGTTAGGCGGCGGGTGAAGCGTAACCTCATGCTCGGTCATAAGACCAACCGGGGGCGGTTGCCAGGTAGGAGGTATCGAGTTTCTCCAGTTTCCGAGGTTCTGTTCAATCTCGCGAATACTCTGTTCGATTTCGTACTGGGACCTGCGGAGCGATGAAACTGAGTAAATATTGGCAAAGATCTTGCTCTTGATCATCCCCAAGCGGATGTCAAAGGGAAAGATGATGGTATCCGAAAGATCGTGCGTTGAAAGGCCGACCGACCGATACACATTTTGCGTGTAGTCGGCGGGTAGGGTCAGGTCACACTGCGAATCGTCGATTGCAGGCGGCTGACCACAACGGAAGGTCAAGCCTTTGTCTGTCAAGTAACAAAGCCAGAACAGGTTCCGGGCATGACTGGCCGCGCGTGGGTCCGCATCGGGCGACGAAGCACCAATCTCCGGATCAGTGATGTGTCCACCCAGCATGAACACTAAACGCACCGCTATGGTGTTGAAATAAATTGCCGTCTGAAGAGATCTGGTGATCATTCCATGAAGGCTCTGGAGAGAGGAACGTGCGGCATGAAGGCCAGAAAGTCAGTAACTCATCAACCTCCGAAGACTGGGGCCACGAGAGAGCAAAAGGGCTGCAGGGGAACCGACCAACATGACGGCGGCTTGTAAACAGTCCAACGAGGGAGGCCCGCTGAGTGCTTCCGCCATGAGACATTTGGCCTTGGTCGCGAAGGCGTCACACTCGGCCGGGGAGAGGGCATGGTAGTCTTCTAAGATTAAGGGAATCAAGGCCAAGGAGGCGCAAACACAGGCTCGGCTACTGGCATTGCGCGTGTCCAGGGTGAGTCCATCCTGGTTATATGCGGAAGCAATTGTGGTTCGGAATAGGGTGGGATCCACCACTGGGTATCTGCTGCGGAGGTGGGAGGACTGGTATGCCTGCAGGACTGACTCGATTAAGGCCTGTTCGGGTAGGCTACAGATATCCGTGGTTTGAGACCTGATGCGGATGATCTCGGCGTCGAGGCAGACCAGCCGTTCCCCCGATGCGCCCTCGTCATAGACCTTGGCAAAGGACATGGTCTGCCCGGTGGTGCATTGAACCCAGTGCTTCGCCTCAGGCGAGAATGTCGGAACCCCCCAGATCAAGGTCAGCGGCGGCTGTCTTCGCCCGGCGAAGTGTAGGCCCACGGGCGGATTGTCGAGGGATCGGTCATTGCGGAGGATGCTGTTGTCGCTTGTCTTTTGGAGACTTGGGGATGGAGTCTCGTTCTCGACTGCGAGACAGCACGGGGGGCTTTGGTTAGTCATACAAGATACCTAAGACCATGGGGGTGGAGTCTGTGCCGAGCGAGCTAGGGCTGGACTGACCCTGAAGACCCTGTACCACCGGCGGCGACGCTTTGTTCGCCGGTTGCTGACCAGCGACCTTTTCTCGTTTTGGACGTGTAAATGTGCACAAGAAATTATGGTGACTGCAATAGTTACATCGAGGCAATGCTGCGTCGCATTTGATCTACCATCTATTCAGTTGCTATTGTCCAGCTGTCATGGAGCACGCGAGACAAGGGGGTCGTTGGTAGCGAAAATGCTCACCTTCCTCTTATAACATGAGTCACAGGCTCGGGGGGTGTGTTTACCAGAACGACCTCCCGAGGGTGCTCGGAATTGGTTGTCCATGTTTCTGACTCCCTTTGGACTCGACTAGAGGATAGGGTGGAATAGATAAGAGGGAGGAGGAAGATGTGAGTGAAATCTTATGATACTAGGGGAGAGGTCAACTAAGTTGACGTTGTGGTCACTTTCTGCTATTGAGAATGGGTACGCGTGTAAATAACCGTTTTTCCCCCTTCTCCTTTTTCGTTTCCCTTTCCCATTTTACTTTGAGGTACCAAGAAAAGGTTAAAACTTTTTAAAATTTGAAGTCTTTCTTCAGGTCCAACTAGACTAACAGGCGGAACCGGAAGTTAAGCCAGAAGACCCAAGTTTTCCAGAACGATGGTGGGTCTTCGGGTCGGGAAAGGAAATACGTAGTCTAGTCTAGTCTAGCCAGGAGAAATCGGTCGGAGGTCTGGAATGGTCGTACTCGCATAGTAGACGTATATCCCGCAGAAGATAATAAGCATTTGGGCAAATCTTGCATTACAAGTGGCAACTACGTGACATCCTCCGAAATCGCGGCAGGTCGGCGTTTCCGGGCGGAGGATCTCCGGGGATCCTCCGCGCCAGTCATAATGCTCGAACTATACAGGAGCTGTAACCCTACTCCATTTAGCCCTAGCAATCCTTATACATACATACACGGGCATGTCTGTTCTCATCCTATTTAATCGTCCCCTTATTCTCAGCCTGTAATCTATTCGAGAGTTTCGTCTTTCGCTGCTTCTTCGCCCTCCCTCCCTCTTTGAATCTCTTCAATTACTGTTTGTGTCTTCCCGATCCATTCATTTACTTACTACAGCACCATCCTTCTTTTCATATCTTTCCGAATCACCCTCGCTAGCTATTTCTCACTTGGCCACAGGCCTTTATCTCTCCCCCCCCCCTCTCTCTCTATTTCGTCTCCCTGATCTCTATCATCGATTGCCCACCTCCCTTCTGCTCAATCCGTATCTTTCAGCCGACAGTGGGAGCCGACCACCACGGGCATCATGGCCAACAAATCGCCCCGCAGCCCCGACGAGAGCAGCCTCACCCAACCGGAGGAGATTACACTTCATACTTTAGACTCTGGTGGATGGGAACTGGGTCCCTTGGTGAAAACCTTCCATCAGAACATGCGTGAGGAAGGATATTCTGAGCGGAAGCTGGGTGTCACCTGGCAGAATCTAACGGTCAGGGGCATCAGCTCAGGGGCTGCCTTGAACGAGAACGTGCTCAGTCAGTTTGATGTGGTCCGGCAGGCACAGCAGGCTCGCCAGAAACCGGCACTGAAGACCATCGTGTCCAACTCGCATGGCTGTGTTAAGCCGGGCGAGATGCTTTTGGTGTTAGGCCGGCCGGGGGCGGGCTGTACGACCCTGCTCAAGATGCTTGCCAACCACCGGGAAGGTTACGCCCAGGTAGAAGGTGATGTTCACTATGGCTCCATGACCAGCGACGAGGCACACCCCTATAGGGGCCAAATTGTCATGAACACCGAAGACGAACTGTTCTATCCCTCGCTCACCGTCAACCAGACGATGGATTTCGCCACCCGCCTGAAGGTCCCGGGACACATCCCGGCCAACGCTAAGAACGGCCAGCCCCAGACGGCCGAAGAATACCGACAGGAGCGCAAGGAGTTCTTGCTCGAGTCGATGGGAATTGCACACACACAGAATACCAAGGTCGGCAACGAGTACGTTCGTGGGGTCTCGGGAGGGGAGCGGAAACGGGTCTCCATCATCGAATGCCTGGCCACCAATGCCGCCGTCTACTGCTGGGATAACAGTACCCGTGGGTTGGATGCGAGCTCGGCGCTGGACTGGGCGCGTGCCCTTCGGTACATGACCACCGAGCTGGGGCTGACCACGATCGTGACCCTGTACCAAGCGGGAAACGGCATCTACGATCTCTTCGACAAGGTGCTCGTCTTGGACGAAGGCAAGCAGATCTTCTATGGCCCTCGCGCCGAAGCCCGGCCGTGTATGGAGAACCTGGGCTTTATTTGCCGGGCTGGGGCCAACGTCGGCGATTACTTGACGGGTCTCACGATTCCTACCGAGCGTCTTATCAACCCTTCCTTCCGCACCTTCCCAGAGAACGCAGACGCAATCCTGCAGATTTACGAAGGCTCGGTGACTCGCAAGAACATGAAAAAGGAATACACCTATCCTTCCTCGCCCGAGGCCCAGGCCAACACAGAGGCCTTTTGCGCCAGCGTGGCATTCGAGAAGCAGAAAGGCGTGAAACATACGGACCCCATGACAGTGACCTTTCCACAGCAGGTGTGGGCGTGCGTCCAGCGACAGTACCAAATCACCTTTGGCGACATGGCCTCCTTCGTCATCAAGCAAATGTCCACGCTCGTCCAGGCCCTAATTGCGGGATCGCTGTTCTACAATGCCGCCGCCGATTCATCAGGACTCTTCATCCGGGGCGGTGCGCTTTTCTTCTCCCTGCTCTACAACGCGCTGATGGGGATGTCCGAGGTGGTGGATTCATTTACTGGCCGTCCGGTCCTGATTAAGCACAAGTCATTCGCCTACTTTCATCCGGCCGCCTTCTGCATCGCTCAGATCGCCGCAGATATCCCCATGGTCTTGATTCAGATCACCGTCTTTGGGATTATCATTTACTTCATGGTCGGACTATCGTCCTCCGCAGCGGCGTTCTTCACCTACTGGATTATGCTCTTCGCAACGACAATGGTGAGTGGCAGTGGCGATAGATCTGAAGCACTATTTGGTTGTAGCTGAGACCATCCTTAATAACTAACTGTCGTCGCCTCTCGCTCCTAGTGTATCACCGCCATGTTTCGTGCAGTTGGGGCGGCTTTCCGCACCTTTGACGGGGCGTCCAAGGTGTCCGGTTTCCTTATCTCCGCCTTGGTCATGTATACAGGATATATGATCCAGAAACCGGACATGCACCCGTGGTTTGTCTGGATTTACTGGATCGATCCGCTCGCGTACGCCTTTGAGTCCGTGCTATCCAACGAGTTTCACGGTAAGGTGATCGACTGCGTGGGGGGCAATATCATCCCTGCTGGCCCCGGCTATCCGGCCACTCCGGGGCAGGCTTCCTGTGCTGGCGTCGGCGGAGCCGTGCACGGGGAGGTCTCCCTCACGGGTGATCAATACTTGCACTCGCTGAGCTACAGTCACAGCCACGTCTGGCGGAACTTCGGCATCGTGTGGTGTTGGTGGGCGCTCTTCGTTGGCATTACGGTACTGGCAACCATGCGCTGGCGGGACCGGGGCGCCACCGGGGCCACGCGCCTGGTCCCCTCCGAGTTGACCCGGAAGGGCCGGGTCGCAGTCGATGAAGAGTCACAGGCCCCTCCGAACGACCGCAGGTCCGAGAAGTCATCGGCCGCCATCTTCCCTTCCCCAAACGCCGCGACCATCGCTCGGAACACCTCGATATTCACCTGGAAGAATCTCAAGTATACCGTCAAAACCCCGCATGGCGACCGAGTTCTACTGAATGACATCTATGGCTGGGTCAAGCCGGGCATGCTTGGAGCCCTGATGGGATCGTCTGGAGCAGGAAAGACCACTCTCCTGGATGTGCTGGCGCAACGCAAGACAGATGGCACAATTCAAGGCTCGATTCTCGTGGATGGCCGCCCTCTTGATGTCTCCTTTCAACGATCCGCTGGGTATTGTGAGCAGCTGGATGTCCACGAGGCTATGACGACTGTTCGCGAAGCGCTGGAGTTTTCGGCCTTGCTGCGACAACCTGCGCATGTCCCTCGAGAGGAAAAGCTGGCCTACGTCAATGCTATTATTGACTTGCTTGAGCTTCATGACATCGCGGATATCTTGATTGGAAAACCCGGGGCCGGTCTAAGTATCGAACAACGAAAGCGGGTGACGATCGGCGTCGAGCTTGTCTCTAAGCCCAAGATCCTTATCTTTCTTGACGAGCCCACCTCCGGACTGGATGGTCAATCGGCCTTCAGCACGGTGCGATTCTTGCGTGGATTGGCGGACTTAGGGCAAGCGATTCTCGTCACTATTCATCAGCCTTCGGCCCAATTGTTCACGCAATTTGACACTCTGCTATTACTCGCCAAGGGGGGTAGGATGGTGTACTTTGGTGATATCGGGGAGAATGCACAAACCATGAAGGGTTATTTTGCTCGCAACGGGGTCACTTGTCCGCCCGAGTCGAACCCAGCGGAGTTCATGATCGACGTGGTCACCGGCCGGCTGTCGAAACGCGACTGGCATGAGGTCTGGATGGAATCACCCGAGCACGCCCAGCGCCTCAGTGAGCTCGATCAGATGGTCAAGGAGGCAGAGCAGCGCCCGGTCGGAGAGCCGGACCTGAGCGAGTTTGCCCTCCCCCTGTGGGAGCAGACCAAGATCGTTACGCGTCGCATGAATCTTGCCCTCTATCGCAATACAGACTACGTCAACAACAAGGTTGTCCTGCATATTACGTCTGCCCTCTTCAACGGGTTTACCTTCTGGATGATTGGCGACAGCGTTGGCGATATGCAGCTTCGTCTCTTCACCGTCTTTAATTTCGTATTCGTGGCCGCCGGCGTGATCAACCAGCTCCAACCATTATTTATCGAGCGGCGAGACATTTATGATACACGGGAAAAGAAATCCCGCATGTATTCGTGGAAGGCGTTTGTGACGGCACTGATTGTCTCGGAGTTTCCCTACCTGTGTGTGTGCGGTGTCCTCTACTATGTCTGTTGGTATTATACAGTCGGGTTCAGCTCGGATTCGAACAAGGCGGGAGCCACCTTCTTCGTGATGCTGATGTACGAGTTTCTATACACTGGGATTGGACAGTTCATCGCCGCGTATGCACCTAATGCCCTGTTCGCCTCGCTAACCAATCCATTGCTCATCGGGATTCTCGTCTCGTTCTGCGGTGTCATGGTGCCCTACGCGGCGATCAATGTCTTCTGGCGGTACTGGATGTACTACCTGAACCCGTTCAACTATTTAATGGGCAGCATGCTGGTCTTTACC